TGTAAGCTGTTGTTCTTATTTAACAGTGATAAAGACAGAACAAATCCTCAAGTTAATCTGATTATTAAAGTATCATTGCCCATTGGCATAGCAATTGTATATCCAGCTAAAATTCGCTGCTCCTTCCTCTGTGTCACTTCCAACTCATCCTGAGGACTCAAATGTTAACCACTTTATGAAACATTTTGTGTTCCCACTAGCAGTTAATTATTCCCACTCATACCTTAGCACACGATAGTGATTTTATTTGATTACACGGGTTTTCCTCTTTTCAGTCTATAAGCTTTCTGAGGACCAGGTCTCACCCATCACTGAATTATCATGAATGGGATGTGCTCAATGTTGAATGAATGATTGACAGAGGAGGGAAAGAATGAATTAAGTATAGGTGAGAGTAGTTTAGGGCATTTAAGACATTTAGAAGCGTGAAGGCAAAATTTTCATAAGAACAGGGATCTTGTATGCCTGAACCCTTCCCTCCCCCACTTATAGTCGGTGCTGGGCACATAGTAGGTAGCTTGGAAGACATTTGCAAGTCAAAGAAAAGGAGAAAGGCCAGCTCTAGGCACAGGTTTCCGTCAGCATGGACTTCTCGTGCCATGTGTCACTTTTGGTAGTACAATCCCAAAGTGTCTGTTAACCTTATTCTATTCCCTTGCCCCCCAGAGGTTCCAGGGCTGAATTATCCACACCTCCCCAATACCTGATCCTCACCCACTAGTCATTTTAGAACCCCTGTTCCTATGTAAAGGAATAGACCCTATATCCCATTGCTATAGGACTGTTCCATGCTCCTCCAGTACTTGCTAATTTAGTGACCATAAATCCCTGTAACAAGTTATGGGCACTAAAGGGCCACCTTACAGAGGAATGAATACTGAGTATATCAGACATTGTGGATAACTGAATAGGTGGGTTTCAAATCACTCAGTGTCTCCTCCTACCTGGCCTGTATGGGACAAGCACTAGAGGAAGAAGGTGAGCATTTCCTTGGAAAAGGTAGTGCTTTACAGACTGCTTGTAAGGGTGCCGATTTTATGAAATCCCAGTTTTTTAAAGGTTTTGTGGTAAAGCCAGCTGGAGATAGTAAGTCACAGTTTTATTACAGTGTGGGCCTTTTCTTAGGGTGTGGGATTCATTTGTGGCTAAATGAAATAGCTGGGTTCTGTAGTCAATAAAAATCAGTACCTTCATGAGGTACTTAATCTCTCAGAACAGACCAATGCTGACAGTCTCTGGGAGAAAAATAGAGAATTAAAATATGAACCAAGATATCTGCCTTGGTCCAATCTCTCTGTTTCACATTGGGTAGGCTATAGATGCTGGTGATTGCAGGCGTCAGTTGGGAGAATAACAGGTTTCTCTCTCTCTTTCCTGTTCATCTTTTCCAGTGCAGAGCCTAGAAATGGCGGATCACATGTCTGGCTAATGCTAGTTTCCTCTTGAAGAAGAAAAGACAGAGTCACATTTTCTCTGAATTTGAAACCAAGATCACTTTATTCACTTGATTACAGCTGTTCTTAAATGCTCCTTGGATAGTTTCCCTCTGTATTATGTTTCCCTCTGTCCTTAGTCATGGATTTTCGAAGTAACCTCACTTAGTTCTCCTCCATGGGCCAAATATATACTGATATTGAAGTGTTACTAATCCTTTAAAATGCCAGGAGTTTGAGCTTTCATTGGACTTTGAAAGATTTTAATAACTAGATTTTCATCTCTGATCACTGATAATGTTTTTAATTTGGAGTTGGAGCAGTTCCCTCTGGTAATGCATGCAGCTTGAGCAGACAGGGCATGCTATTGTTCTAAAACAGCTCAGATTAGATTTTGCCCAAACAGGTACAGAACCGAAAACCTTGGCTTCCGTTAATGCTGTATTTTGGGGCAAAGGTTCCTAAAGTCTACTTGGCCTTTATTACCTTCATGAGTTTTACCATATCTGAGTACCACCTGAAATTGTATTTACTATTTTTCTTCAAATTCATTCGCTGTGATACTTGAGTAAGTTTATTTTCCATCATGGAAATAATTATTTAGCCTAAGTGGAAACTAGTATTACTTGTCCTTAATTGAAGGTAATAAATACAATGAAAAGAAAAGTTATTAAATTCTAGCTAGATACTATTGCTTGCAAAAGGTTCTGAGCCCCAGGCCTATCTCCCTTTATTTGAAAGGGTAGTAACCTGGGTTGAAGCCATACTAGCACCACATTGAAGCTCTCCTTCAGGGAATGTGATGGATTGAAAAAAAAAAAAAAAAAGGAAGAAAGAATCCTTTTTCCTCTATTTAGTAATTATTCCAATGCTTTTGATTCCAAGTGGTACTTAGCCAACGTGTGAGAAACCCTGCCTTTGAAAAACTCATTCCTTTTATATTCTGTGTGAGGAATTCAATATTTGATTGACTGGACTTGTATGAAAACCCCTTTTCAGGATGTAAGGACACCCCAAAAGTAGATGGCACTGTTCCTACACCCAAGAAACGTGTCATCTAATAATACGAGGAGAGCAAATCATAAATGTGTAGCAGCAAGAGTTCCAGAAATATGCAGGTACTTCATACTAGAATGTGAGTGGCAGAGGGTCACTCGAGGGTCTTTCCGGGGCAGTTGAGGAGTACTTAGCAGATGAGGCAGCCAACGAATACGTACGGAGTCAAAAAACACTAGCCAATTCCCCAGTCTCCTAGTGGAGGTATAAGCACTCGCACGGGCAGGGAATAGGTTGGCACCATCTGGAAAGGCTACAGGGAAGCAAGATTTGGACAGAATCTTGAAGGAAGGAATAGGCAGAGAGCACACACATACATACACAGGTGCACATGCACACACATATATGCACATACACACAGTGTCTTAGAACAGAAGGTACAAGGTTCATGTGAAAGCAGGGGGTTAAGTGTGTCTGACCGAGGTTGTGACCTGAGAACAGTCTCAAAAATACAAACGACCTTCCAATTTGAATAAATACTCCCCTTTCCTCAGACGTAAAGCCATTCCCCACTTCTTGTTCATAAATATCACACGTTTAAGACTCATGTACACTGCAAAAAGTGTCGATGTTTCAGCAAAACAAACCATCTTCTGTTAAAGGAACGATACCTTCCATTTCAATGTACGTGGAGGTTGCTTTTTGAGAAACCCAGCTTTAGGTAGATATGTTGTCCGTTTACGGATTTTTGCCGTATTTCCTCAGTTGTTAAGGAGGGCTCCTAAAATCTTTGCAGCTAAGCAGTCGTGCCATTTCTCACAGTTCCCTTTGCTGTTTTTTGTTAAATGGAGTCATTGTTTCTCTGGTATTAATTTACCATCACACGATTTGCTGCTCTAGAGATAGCAAAGTCTCAGGTAGTATTTTTAAAGAATAAACAAGAGAAGCAGATTGGCAGGGTAATAAATGTGGGGCAATAAGGTGGGAATTTAAGCTGTTACTATTTCTGAACAAGTTGTGCTGTCACAGAAATGGTCATGGGCCTCTGGGTCTGTTTCTGTAAGAGGAGAGCCCAACTGAGGAGGCATTTCAGCATTTCAGGTCCCAAAGGATTTCTCGGGACCAGCCTGAAGGCAGGAAGGATTGATGTAAGCTTTGGCTGCACAGGCTTTGTGAAAGGTTTCCATTTTCTGAAATATAATGATGCCAAGATTTTAGTTTGGGTACTTCCCACGTGGGTTAAGGGATACTAAATCTTCAGCTCTGTTATACCTGGAGAATGTTTTTCAGAAAGGTCATTTTCATCTCCTTTCACTCTAAGGCTCATTTTTAAATATATGGTTAAATATGGACTTAGGCCAAACCATGAACCAAAAAGCAAGGTATAAACCTTCTTAATTTACTGAACCTCAAACCCAACCTTTTGTTTTGGCACATGCTAATTTTTTCAGTTACACATATATATACACATTATCTTTCATATTCTTTTCCATTATGGTTTATCACAGGATATTGAATATAGTTCCCTCTGCTATACAGTGTTATTCTGTATGTAATAGTTTGCATCTGTTAATCCTAAACTCCCAATCCATCCCTCCCCCACCCCGCCACCCCTTGGCAACCACAAGTCTATTCTCTATGTCTGTGAGTCTGTTTTGTAGGTAAGCTCATTTATGTCCTATTTTAGATTCTACATATGTGATATGATATTTGTCTTTGACTTAACTTCACTTAGTATGATCATCTCTAGGTCCATTCATGTCGCCACAAATGGCATTATGATGTTCTTTTTTATGGCTGAGTAATATTCCGTTTGTATATATACTACATTTTCTTTATTCATTCATCCTCGATGGACATTTAGGTTGTTTCCATGTCTTGGCTATTGTGAATAGTGCTGCTGTGAACATATGGGGGCATGTGTATTTTCAAATTACAGTTTTGTCAGGATATATGCCCAGCTGTGGGACTGCTAGATCATATGGCAACTCTATTTTTAGTTTTTTAAGGAACCTCCATACTGTTCTCCATAGTGGCTGTATCAATTTACATTTCCACCAACAGTGCAAGAGGGCTCCCTTTTCTCCACACCCTCTCCAGCACTTGTTGTTAGTAGATTTTCTGATGATTCCCATTCTAACCAGTGTGAGGTGATTCCTCATTGTAGTTTTGATTTCCATTTCTCTAATAATTAGTGATGTTGAGCAGCTTTTCATGTGCCTCTTGGCCGTCTATATGTCTTCTTTGGAGAAGTGTCTGTTTAGTTCTTCTGTCCATTTTTTGATTGCTAACCTTTTTTTTTTAACTGAACTACTAACAACCATATCTCGTGGAGCGCTAGCAGGAACCAAAATTTCATGTTTTCTAAACTGAGTATCACTGCAAAATATTTCTAAACTTGAACTTTAAAACTTCGCTGATTGAGCCTCTGCCTCCAACTAACCTGGTTGTCTCACTGGGAAGGGCTGTGCACCTTGGTGTTCAGAGTCCTGACCCAGCTCTATGGCCTCTGTCGGGTAGAAAAGCCTGAACTTCCATGTGAACTGATGAAATCACGTGTTTGTCTTTCAGGTTCAGTATTTCTTCAAGATCTTGGATAACTAGCAGCTTAGAAAGTAAAGAAGTCACAGGTTGTGGTGTTTAGACAAGAGTGAATCACACATGAGGAATGTGTTCATTCTTTTATTGTCCATTGTTTTAACCTGACTGAATACAAGATCAACAAGAGCACTGTACTCCTGGCAATTATGACATATGTTAGAACATGGATTTTGCACTGCAGACAACATTTAACACCAGTCTATGGGGTACTGCATTGCTTTTTATAAAGTCCAAAATAAAGATTTATTTTCAAACAAGTGACTTTGGTTTATTTCATACATTACACTTTTTCTCGCAGAAAAAAATAAAATTGTACAACTGCATAAATATAAAATTCTTCCACCATGAAAATGGTTAAAACATTCATAAAGACACAGCACCAGCAGGTGATGCCTCCAGAGAAAGGAAAAAAGGAAAGTGAAAGAAAATGTACAAAGCAAATTAATCAGCCCCGTCACTAGCCAAAGTGACGGGCGCTCCAGATCTCATACACGGCTTCAGAACAGACTGGAGGACAGGGGAAGAGGAGTCAGGACAGCATTCAGTACAAAGCACAACACAACCCATCACCTTTGTGTGTGTTTCTGTAGTGTCACTTAAAATTTAAAGGGCAGTTCCCCCATAACAGCCCACCCCACCCCCGCAACCCAGACCCAGGAAAAATAATAATAATAATAATAAAGACCTAACAAACACCACAGGGAAAGACTATGGAGTGTGTTAAAAATGCTCATCGATGGGCCATTATCATCTTTGAAAGAGCCAAACCCAAAAAGGAAAAATAAAGTACCATGCCAGTTTTATTCCCATTGAATATTTACACCTTGGACAGCAAACTTTGCTCACGTTAAGTAGAAAACAGATACGATAAAACATGGCTTGAAAAATGACCAGAGTGTGTGCACCGAGAGTACTGTACACTAAATAAAATACACAAGGCAGCAATACTTAGGGGCCAGAAACACTGCTTACTATAAGTCAGTTATGGAATCATAATTTACAGTAAAAATGGGCACGTCCCAAGGCTCAATTTTTATTTTTCTTTTGTCATTTACAGTAGAATAAATATTTTGTTGCTATTGCTACACTTTAAATTTACATTCTAACCTATTAAATGCAGAAAGCTAGTGTAAAGCATATAGATTAAGTGTAGGTCCCATACGTATTACGGTTTGTTCAAGACTAGTAGGTTTTTGTATCTTTTTTAACTGTTTTAAATGGCTAGTGGGAAAGATCTGTGCTTGTGATCAGCTCTTAACTTCAATTTTTACGTCAAAGCGTCCCTGAAAACGGTCTTTCTCACTGTACCCAATGTTCTCACCATACGCCTTACACTCTATGCGGATTTCCGTGTCCATGGTGAGGTTGGTGAACTGTACAGCCAGCAGGGGCTGCAGGTACTTGGGCTGCAGGAGCTTGCCGTAGTAGGGATAATACTGCAGCGGGAAACCAGGGTAGCTGCCCAGTCCAAAATACTCCACGGTTCCAATTTTCTCCTTATCTTCGTCTCGCTGGAAACCAGAGAGGAAATGAGATTTTTCAGGGCTCACATCCTGGATGACGATTTGTACTCACATACAAATGAGACTCTCAGTCCCACAAAGCAGTCTGCAAGCTACTGCTGGAGGAAGTGGGTCATCCGCGGACACGCCAGCTCAAACCCCTCGCGGGAGGAGGTGAGCACTAACCACTGGAGGATACGGGAAGAGACACACTCGGCCTAATCCTTAGTAGCCTTGAGAAACGGTCACTAAAAGGAGGCTTTCCTCACTGTACAAATGGGAAACTGCAGCAAAAGCCAACTAAGGCCTTTCTTCAAGCCAACACAACCTCCTAGAAGTAGGGCCAGCACTGGAAGAAACTCTTCAGTGTTGGCCCAGTGGATATTTTCAATGACATTACCTCCAAAAGTTTAACTATTTGCCTTTCATTTTCTTGTGTCCATTTCCTTTCTTGGTGCCAACATAAATTTGAACTGTTTGGAGATTTCCCTTTCTTTACTCTGCTTCTCTCTCTAAACAGTCCATCAGGTACCTGTCTTCAGATTTAAAGGGAATACACATTGATGGTTACCTTAATATTTCAATATTGTTTTTAAAGAAAAGCCAGAAGCAATTTTGCAACGTAAAATTATTAAAAAAAAAAAAACAAAAACGTTGGCCTCAAGTTTTTAACACACCATGTGAGCCAGAGAAGCACTCACGTGGGCTAGTTCACCTCAGTTCTGTAAACCAATATTCCAACTGATTAAATTCAGATATTTCGGTTTCTTGTTCCCGTTGGAGAAACTGACAGATGTTTTTATTCTTGTTACATCTTTCTGTTCTTTTAAGAAGTTCTACCCAGTGTAGCTACAATTCCATCAGCTGAGACTGATTCCTGGAAGCAGTGCTTCTTATTTCCCATGTTAAAGTTTTACCTCTAATTTAAAACAATCTCATTCATTCTCCCCTCTCTCCTGCCCCACCCTCAGTAACTCTAAAGGTCTCCTTACCTTGCCAGTGCACTGAACAGGCAGGACGTATGGATTATACTTCATCACTGGGTAAGTATCCAAGGACTCATTCTTGGGAGGCTAAAAATAAAATCCATGTTGGTCAATAAGTTTGTAAATAATTCCTTTAACTTCTGAAAAATAAAACGAGCTTGTAGCGCAAACAAGTACACTTTGGTCAATTGAAATAATAACCAAACGCTTGAGGACAGCAGAATGAATGACTCTCCTAACCAGTCTAGGAAAGGTCATGCTGTGATTTTCTTGAAAATAAATGCCCAAGTTTTGTGACCACTACAATTAAGCTGTGATGTGTAGCCCAGTACTAAATGGAACTTCTAATGGCAACCCATTAGAAGCTTTATTCAAGGACACTGAAAAATAAGAGCCAACTCAGAAATAATGCTCTCTTCTCATTTGCTAAGATTATAATTAGATGGAAAGGTTGGTTGACATTTCTGTTTTTATAAAACTTGGGCTTTCCTCCCGAGCCATGAATAAATAATGCCATCCTTCTCCCTCAAGCATGCCTTCTTCAAGTAAGCTTTCCTCTTTTTTTTTTTTCCCTTTTTTGTTTTTTTAAATCTCCAGTGGAGGCCCTGTCATTTAAGTCCCAGTTTTGTTAGGCAAGTCCAGCATGTAAAATAGATTAAAGTGGCATTGCCCTCAATGAAGGGGTCTTGTGAAGGGGTAACTCCATCGGAGGGACCCATAGTACACGTTGAAAATCACTGCTGTAGTGAAATATCCAGGGCCTGCCTTCCTAGATCCCTGGCTCAAATCCATCTCAGGAGAAGTGTGATGGACATCTACCCCCTGGAAGACAGACAGGCACTTGCTTACTCACATCAGCAGAGTATGTGAGTCCTGACATGAGATGTAACACATACATAGCCTAATCAAAGTCAGATAAAATGCACAATTCTCTGTATCAGTAAAGGACTATTTTTGGTACTGCTCTTTCTTTTGGAATATAAGAAAATGATCATCTAGATTTGCTTCTTGGAACTTTCTGCCAGCAATAGATTTATCTTTAAAAATATGAAGAGAAAATACACATTGATAAAGAAGTTACCAGAATCTATCCTCGGGGAGTGAGGGAACGGGCACATCAAGTGAGATGTGGAGTACTGCAACCTCTGTAATTCCAGCAACGAAAGAGTTGGGGATTTGGGATGCGGGGCTGAATCAGAAAGTGGCAATGGATAACCAAGGGGAATCCAAAGGAGGGAAAAAAAAACAAAGACTGAAAAGAAAGAGTAGCTGAATTCATCACTTTAACAGAATATCTTTATAAATATGGGAAGAGATGTGAATCACAACAGACTCTGTGGGGGACAAATATCATTCAATGTCTAGGAAAAGGAATTATCAAAAGTGAGGGATTCGGAGAGCAAAGATCACGATTAGTCCTTTGGATACACTGCACCAATTCCTTTCATTGCCAAATAGCTTGTTTATCTTGGTGAAGAATTTCCTAGCAATATGAATATCAACTCTAAGTGTGACATAATGGCTTTCACCATTCTTCTTCGATTACCTCCTAGTCTGCGTGGAACGAAGATTAAAATTCTGTTGAGAGGTACATTAATTTCTGTAGGAGATCCAACAAGCCAGCCAGGCAAACATCCATGCACCCACTCATCCATTTTTGCCTCTGGTGGCAGTAAAGGAGTTTTGATGTATCCTTCAGTTATGTTAATAAAACTTTTCATCTCTACATTGACTTTCTTTTGAAAATATTATTCATGGGTAATAAGCATTGCAGAAATAAAGAGCATATAGTAGAAAGTTAATGAACAAAAGAGCCAGATTCCAGAAATGAAGTAAGTTTGTTCATATAACTCTGTATACTGCAGTCAATTCCTATCAGAACCAAAAACTACCCTCTTAATGGCAATGCTCTCATGAGCAAATGGGAGAAATCTTCTGTAAGAATCCACGCTTAAGAGAAAAGGACAGCATTTTTTACTTCATGAGCTGGGGGAGAGAATGAAATAAGCAGTCTTATAAAAACAGAGAGAACACCCATACAATTTTTTCTTCTAATTTTAAAGAATTGCTACCATCCCACCAAATGGTGAGCGAAGGCAATTTGCAATTGTTCAATGATCTCTAATAGTATTTGGCCATTGTAAGTTGCAATAATGGCAAAAGCCAATGGCATGGTTATAAAAGTTCAACCTAGACAGTATTCAACTTCTAATTTTGAATTAGAAGTTCTAACGGAAACTTCATTCAGAAAAAAAACAAAAAAAAACATTTTTTCTGATGACCAGACAATTATTTCAGATTACGAGATTTTTTTTGTTTGTTTTAAATACTGTGGCTCCTACAGTTCAGGTAGGTTTTAAGTTTAAAGACATCTTTTTCTCTTTTTTACTTTTAAAGAGTTTACGTTATAGAATTACATAATAGAAATCCAGAACAGGGCCACAGGACTTACTTCAGAATTTGGCTTTGCCACACAGAATTTCTCTAACTTTAGGAAATGAGATTAATGACCTAACCCTAAGAATTCCAAGGTGGCCACAGAGGTTTTTCAGTGTTACTCCACTGATCAGCTTCAAAACTGTCACTGAGTATCCTTTAAACGTCTGTTAGGGTCTCTTTTCATACCAATTAAGGACTACATGGAATTGTGAACGGCTCATCTAAATTCTATGATTTAAAATATTACTTGCCTTAGGTTTGAAGCCCAAAACTCGGTTGAGCTTTATAATGACACATGGTTTGCCCTCTTTGTAGCCGTAAGTTTCATCAT